ATCAAGTGCGACTACAGCACCGGTCAGCACACACCATACTGCATCGCAATGACAGAGCAGATGACATGGTCACGTGCGACCACCAGCACCTGCTCACTGTTTCAAGCAGCGTTTCGCGAGGCAGGGTTGCCCTGTGGGCGCTGGGACCGACCCTGAACCGCGCCATGATCCCCACACAGCAGTTTGACCTGTGCCACCTCCGCCCAACGACAGACCCCAGATGCCGCCCCTACGTCATTGTGCCCATTGTTGTTCCACCAGCAACACCTCCCGCAGAAGCGCACAAACTTGATGACTACGATGTCACTGCATTGCCGTACCTGACATCATCTGCCAAGCATCTTGACATGGCAAAGAAGATGATGGAGGCTGCAGTGTTGTCTTCTTTTGTCCTGGACTGCCTAATCCATCTGGCATAATCGCGGTGGTGCTGGACGCATTCTGCTTCATGACACAGGCCATCCGCGAGACACGGTGCAAACGACAACAGCACCTGCCAGTTAACAAGGACGGCAACCAAGTGCAGCTGACACCGGAGGGACTTGCTTGAAGGACTGGTGCGAGGCGTTCAAGTGCAGCAGCAGCAGCAACACTTGCGTTGTGTGTCTTTTTTGCCCTGCAGCACCCTGACACACAGTGGTGGCTGGCGGATGACTGCGCCCTTGTTGTCGTTGTTGCAGACCACCTTGCATTTGGCTGTTTGGCTGCACTGCAAGTAACACCATACAATATGGCTGTTGTCTTTAGCAGTGTTGTGCTCTGTTTCTGCTTTCCTCTCTTGCTTGGATGTGCGTGTTGGTGCTGACTGTGTGCCCGTGTGAGGGCTGTTGTCGTTTCTTCATGTCTTGGCTCTGTCCCAATGTACTGTTGGAAAACGATTGAACATGCAAAGTGGAATCACCGCAATACGGCAACCAGCAACCAAACACACAACACTGACAAGGGAGAGTGGCAGAGCAGAGAGAACAGCAGGGAGGAAGGAAAGGAAGGAACTTGAGTACTCACGGCGTGCGTGTCAACAAAGAGCCAACGCAGTGACAACAACAACAACGCATCATCAAACACCGCGTGGCACACTGCAACGCTGCACTGTCGATGGTCGACCTGCAGGAAGAAAGGCATGCACGCGTGCATGAGCCACGATGCGGTGGTTCCTCAGATGGGAAGTGTTTGATTGGCAGCCGCCTCGACATCGCCGCCATCAGTGTGCGCACACGCGAATTGCACAGCCAACCACAAAGGAAGCGTCGCTGCGCGCCATGCACACCACATACATCCACCTCCTTCTTCACTGCCGTTGCCGCTCATCGCAACAACTGCTGTTGTCAGCGGTGGCACCAACAACAGCCAGCACATGCGTGCCCACCAGAATCACGATGGCCACCTCCTTGCTGTTGCGGGAACTAGTGAGGAATGCAAACACAATCACCACCACCACCACCACCACCACCACATCAGCTGTCGCTGCTGTTGCCATGGCGTGCACTCCCACCACAACCATCAACACTGCTGGCGTCTCCTCCAACAACGCCGTGGTGTCCCAGCAGCCAACAGCATCCAATGCCTTGAGCAGTTTGCTGTCGTTGGTGGTGGTGGTGGCAGCAGTGTTTGCATGATGATGTGGGAGGTGAAGGTGGCATGTGATGGCAGCACTCGATCACAGCAAGTGCAATGATGGTGGCTGTTGTTGCTGTCCTGGTGGAGGAATGCGGCGTCCACGTGAACTGGCAAGCGTGCGTGCGTGGCTCCAGTAGTTGGTGTGTGTGATGGGTGGGATCGCGTGTGCACCCGTGCAACCAAAGGGACGAGTCGTCCAGGAACGCGTCGGCCTCGCACTTTGACGCGGTGAAGCCCATGACGGTGATGTCGCCAGAGACGAACAAGCTGAAGAGGCACACCGTAATGTCCTCGTTGAGGGAAGCGACGGTGGCGATGACGGAGCCCTGGCGCAGGTCGATGCGCAGAATGAATCTGCGACGCATCCTGCGTCATGTTGATGGACTGCACCAGCGCGGCCTCAAACGCCTCGCGGCGCGACTGCGTGTCAACGAGCTCGTACTCGTTGGACAGACACTGCATTTACGGCGAGCAGATGCCTGTGTTTTTGCAGCGTGGGCGTGAGCGGGCGCGAGATGAACGTGGTGTTGTTGGGGCACGTGCGGGCCATCTGGCACTCGCGGTGAGTGCTGATGGTGGGCGCGGCCGTCGCAAAGGAGCCAGGCTCGCAGGGCGACATCCGCGCGTGCAGAAGTCCATGTTGCCGTCGCAGTAGAACAGGCCCTCGATGCAGCTTCGGCACTGGCGGTCGGTGAAGATGGTTGGGCGCATAGTAGGGCGCACCTCCTCGTAGCCGAGGTCGCACTCCGCCACAGGCGTGCAATCGCGTTGGGCCAGAGAGGGCGGCAAAGTCCACGCAAGCCTGGCACGGCGTGCACGGCGTGTGCGGGCGTTGCGGTCCACGTCGGCGGTGCCGGCCGGGCACAGGAACTGCTCGCAGGAGCCGATGGAGCCCGCAGGCACATAGTGGCCGTAGGGGGCACGGCCGGCAGGTGATGAGCGGGTTGCGGTCGTGGTCGGTGGTGCCGATGGGGCACGGCTCGCACTTGGCGTCGGAGGTGATGGTTGGCGCGCGGATGCGATGCTCGCCAGGGTCGCACTTGGTGATGAGGTGGCACAGACGGTGTGCTCGTACTCCGTCGACGGGTTGCACTGGGTCAGGTCGCGGTAGATGCGGTCCGCGGTTGGCGTGGCAGGGAACAGCTCAAACTGGTCCTGGTCGCACACGTCGAGCGTCGTGCACTCTGTGTCGCTGGTGGCGGTGCATGGCGCGCTGCGCTACTGCTCATCAGAGCACGTGCCGCACTGCTGGCACGACACGTCATTCTCGCGAGTCGCAGGCGCGCAGGATGTATGTGTTTGGGGGAGCACGCGGAGCAGCCGGCGCACTGCACGTCCTCCAGCGCAGAGCAGGCGCGAATCTCGTAGCGGTCACTAGAGCACCCGGAGCACTCCAGCGTGCACTCGCGGTCGGAGTCGAGCGTGGGCACCTGGCTCTGGAAGGTGCCAAACTCGCACTTGCTCACGGCCATGCGTGGAAATGTACTCTGAGGCAGCGCAACGCGTCACGGGCACGCACGTGTCCTGGACGCACTTGCGGCAGAGGCGGTCGTGCTGGCGTGTGGGTTTGCATAGCGAATCTCTTCCTCATCCGGGCCGCACTGCGTGACGGGGCGGCATGACTCGGCCTGGCCGTCAACGGACTTGAAGGTGGCATCAAGCTCGCACAGGCTGCGCACGCGGTCGCTCGTTGGGGTGGACTCGGCCGTCTCCTCCTCGCCGGCATCGTACGTGGTGATGATGGGGAGACAGGGCACGCCCTGGCCAGAGACAGCCTTGTGCGTGCCCTCTGTGCACTCGTCGCAGACGCGGTCGCTGATGAGGAGTGTCATGGCCTGCACCTGCTCAAACCCGGGCGCGCACTCTGTGACGTCCATGCACGAGGGTGGCGGGGTCGCTGTCGTGGTCGTGGTGGGTGCCTGCGTGGTAGGTGAACCTGGAGCAGGAGCTGTCGGAGCTCGCCTCCGTGTAGTGGGTGGTTGGAGCCGTCACTGTCCGAGTCGATGGTGCCGGCCGGGCAGTCGTGACACACGCGGTCCGATGAACAGCGGGTTGGCGCGGCGACCTCCTCCTGGCCGCGCTCGCACTCCTCAATGGGCTCGTACTTGCTGCCGCCAACGGATGGGGAGAACTCCGTCACGCCGTCGCATGGCCGACAGTCGGCTGAGTCGGCGTCGTAGACAAGGATGAAGCCAGCGCTGCACTCGCACGTGTCTGTGCAGCCTGGGCAGGAGCGGCGTGCCGCGTAGGCGTCCATCTGGCGAATGGTGGCGTGGATGCCATCCTTGCCCTGGCCAGAGCAGCACACTTCAAGCACCACGTCGAGCTGCTCGTCCGTGGGTCGGCATACACCATCTCCTCAAACAGCTGCGTGACGAGCTTGTTGCAGGTGAGCGTGTCGCAGGAGCACAGGCGGTCTGTGGTGAGCGTGGGCGGGATGGTCTCGATGAAGGGCTCCTCGCACACGCTGGTGGGGAAGCACGAGGCGCGGTCCGGCAGCGGCTGGTACTCCATGCCAAAGGGTGCAGCGGTCGCGCACGGCGTTGCCAGAGACAGACAAACTCCTTCCGGCCAGGCTTGCACTCGGTCCAGGGAGAGCAGACGGCGTCAGAAGATGAGGAGCATGGGCTCGAGGCCCAGGCGCCCATGCCACACGTGGTGCATGGCACGCAGCGGTGGTCCTTGGCGTAGTAGTGGAGAGGGCAATGGGTAATGCACGCCTGGTGAAGTTGCCGTCGCAGAGGTTGAGGCAGTTGGTGGCGTTTGGTGGAGTGGCACTTAGCACACGCGTGAAATGGCATTCAGCACACCCATTACCGAGCTCATACTCGCCATCGGGGTACTCGCTGATGCAGCGGCCGTTATTGGAGGTGAGGCTTGGGTCTGCAGGCCGTGCACTCATCGATGCCTGGAGGGGAGGGAGTGGGAGTGGAGGGGAGGATGGGGTGAGAGGCAATGACAACACTTTTGTGAGGTGTTGAGGAACCTTGCACCGCTTGATCATCTCAAGGATACAAAACTAAGAAGAGGCTTTGAGGACAAGCACGCACACACACACACACACACACACACACACACACACACACAC